TTTATCATGTTTTGTTTTGGGGACCAATTCCGCAACATCTTTTAAAATGATTTCTCTGACTTTATTTTAAAAATCATAAATTAAATCGGTCTTTTCTGGCCGAGAAATTAGGGGATGTCACATATTATAAGGCGTGACTCTATAGGATCATATGTTCATGGAAAATATCATTTCATAATGATCCTTGAGCATAAATATCTATTTCTAAGATTCATCTCCCATGCCTTTATTCAAAAGCATTTCCTATGTCATGCTTTTAAACTATGCAAAGTCGAAACATCGTTTCCCATAAGTAGTATGTAATCAAATTACCTTATAATGAAGACTACATTACTATTACTAGTTTTTACATATACATAAACTTCATTTTCATTCTTGATAAAACGAAACTCTTTGATTTTCTCATCAAATCAGCGATTCCAACTTTGAGATGCTTGCTTCAGTGCATAGATGTCCCTTTGAATCTTATACACTTTATATGGACACTTGGAATTTATAAAACCCTCAGTATTAGTCATAAACATATCCTCTGTTATGTTTCCATTTAGGAAACTAGTATTTATACCCATTTTCCATATTTCATAATCATGAAATGTTGTTATGCCAGTTAGTATCCTGATTAACTTTATCATTATTAATGGGGAAAATGTTTATTCAAAATCAATTCTTTGAGTTTGAGTATATAACTTTTCTACTAATCAAGCCTCTCTCTATATATATCTATATATTATATATATATATCTATATATATAATATATATATATATATTATTATATCATTTCCATCGATGTTCCTCTTTTTCTTGAAGACTTGTTTACACAATACTAGTTTATAATTAGGTGTTCGATCAAACTAGTCCTATACTTAATTATCATATATACATTGCATCTCACTTTCTATAACTATTTTCATTTAGAAGACTTTGTGTTTTCGATGGAATATTAATAGCTTGTAGATTAATCATCATCCACCATTAACTCATTAACATTAGATATGAGTAAACCATAGCCTTTTAGTTTGTGATGTTGTCTACCAGACCGATAGACATGGGGGGAGGGGGTAATTTGCAAGATTCCTCCGTAATTATTTATTAAGGCTCATTAGGTTCCTCAACCTCATGTTAAGTGCTAGTGAAAACATTTGATTCTCTGTTTGTTGAATCTTCAATTTCTTAAAGGTGAATATGGCTTCTACTAGCCTCTTTGACATCGACTCCCTTTCAAGGGAGGCTACGGTTAGAGAAACAAAAAATGTTCACAGACGGTTTGTAGGAATAATATCCATAAGATCTATTTGGGTATCCAACAAAATAACACTCCTCGAATATGGGCTCTATTTTTTCTTGAGCTTCATAGAAAATTTAAGCTTTAGATCCCCATATTTTTATATATGCTAGTGATAGTTTACTACAACTCCATATTTTAAATGGTGTGTTTTAAACCTTCTTATTGCTACAAGTTTAAGAATCTTTCAATAACCACTAAGTCATATCCCCATAAAGTAATTGGAACTGTAGTACAACTCATCATAAACCTAACCATGTCCAGTAATGTTTGGTTTTTTGCTTTCAAGTACACAATGAAGTTGTGGTATTCCATGAGGAGTTTATTCTGACATAATTCTACAATTCCTAGATGATCGTTGAATGATTTACTAAGATAATCAACATCCCTATTGGATCTAAGAATCTTAATCCTTTCATCTCGTTTATTATCTACTTCATTTTGCAAAGCGCTAAACCCAACAAAGATTATAGACATTTGTTTAATATGAATGATCCACATACATTAGTGTGTATAAGCTCCAACTAATCTTTCTCATTTCATAATTTCCTGTATTGGTACTTTTTACATTTTTCCTAAAAAACAAGACTTACATTCATGATATGACTTTTGATCGAGTCATTCTACAACACCACCTTAATAGTTTAGCGATATGTTTCTTGTTCACATGGCCAAGACAACAATGCCACAAGTATGTATTATCCAAAACATCTTTAGTTGAATAAATGCTTAACATTGAATTCTTGTTTTTCCTTATGCTAATACTAATTTCATAGATGTCATCACCAAGATTTCCAATAAAATCAAGAATACCATTTTTATAAGCTAAAATTAAACAATTTTCAAAACCAAAATCAAAGCCATCTCGGTATAAAACATAAAACAAAATAATGTTTAATGTCATATTAGGTGAGTAGCAACAATCTAACAAGACCATAGAAAAAATACTAAAAATCCAACGTTTAATGTTCATAATCCCTAATAACGTTTTTTGTTTGGTGCCCATGATTATGTTGAACTCCATGTATTTCGACTTCCTTTTATTCCCTATACATCGATATAAATGTCAGTACCACATCATGTGTCTAAAATCAAAGAGTTTCCCAACTATTTAGCTTTGAGCTTCTTTAGCTCATGTATGGATTATGGACACTTATACATCGAGTGTCTTGTATCATTACATTGGAAATATACAAGTTCTTGAGATTTCTTTGATGAAAGTATCTTGTGATGATCCTTGCCCTTCTTTTACTTAGTTTTGGAGATGTTCGAACCAACTTTTCCCATTCGTTTTCCCTTGTAGCAGTTTAATGTTTTCCTTTTAATACCTCCCTCCTTTATTGCTAGTACGGGAATGGTTAAGATAGAGTTCTTTGTATTGAGCATGTTAACCTCGGAGGTATTCATCATTTCCTGAAGCTCTATAATAGACCTTTCCACATTGTTCATATTAAATTTCATAATGAACTTGGCACCGAATTGAAGATTAAGTCTATAGCCAAGTCCTGGATGATTAAAAGCCTAATCACTCCAACTAGATATCGCATTCCTTTATTTTTAGACTTGGATACTAGAACTCCTGCCTTCCTGTAACTGGAAACCCATGAGAGCTTTCACATTTTCAAATCACTCTTTTCATGTATGCTTTTGGAACATGTCAGTAAGTCATGTTATCATATCAAATGGCCCAAGATTTTCAAAGCTTTTTTATAGTACTAGACCATGGTTACAAGCATGAGGTAAGCCACGACACTTGATTTAGTGACTCAAGTATCATACTTATTCTTATCAGCTCTAGATGCATTAGTTGCGGGGACTTTATGAAGAGTCACCTCAATGGTTAAAAATACATATTAATAAGTAAAATGGTTAAAAATACATATAAATAAGTAAAAATATACGTTTGTACATTTAAAATAGATAAAAATACGTAAATATATACATATAAAAACATAAAAATTACAAAAAATACGTAAAAATAGATGTAGATATGTAAAAAATATGTTTATACATTACATAAAAATTTTGACGAAATCTGCAAAAAAATCTCATTATTTTCGAAAAATTAACAATTTGGTCAAAAAGGGATAAAGTGAATAAATTGGCCGGTTTCTTGGGCTTTTTTATTCAAACGGTGAAAAAGTCGGGACTTTTTTATTCAAAAAAAAATAAAAATAGGACTTTATTAAAAATTTGTCCAAAATATTGGGACTTTTCTGGAGATATTCCTATATTTAAATAACTTAATACACTTATAGTGAATGCATCCTGATTATTAAGAAAGTAGATTCATTCTTTAATTATACTTGATTTTCATTAATGTATATTATTTAATTATACTTGTTTTTCATTATTTTTCCCAAAGCCCTATCACAAATGTAAAGTGGACATGCTCTAAGGACATTCTCGGAAAATATTTATTGTTTATTATTAGCTTGGAAGGAATGGTAGTATGTGGTAACATGTGTTAAAACATTTTCATCTTATATTTTTATAGACATCTAAGCATAATATAATGATATGGAATGGTGATGTCTTTAGAAGGTAAATATATATTTTTTTAAATCAAATATATTTTATTTAAGTATTTAAATAAAATAAATTATGAAAATGATACAAGTTGCTATAGCTAGAATTACAAACATTTGACGCTGAAATACTCAAATGGGGACCACCTATCTTCTCTTTCCTCTCGCCAGCCAACTAGCGACCCAACTTAGCATATGGATAGAGAGTGGTAGCGATGCTTTAGCGAGTAGTTAGTGAGGGAGGGTGGCGAGCCACTCCGTTTAGTCTTAAACTTTCCATATATCCTATTCTTAACAACCTCTCTGTTTGTTCAGGGTATATGGGAATATGCGTTGTCGAAGCTTAGGAATTTTTATTTTTATTTTTATTTATTTATTTATTTTTATTTTTTTGCAAAACGAAAGGTTTTCAATGGATCTTGTTGTTTTTGAATACCATCCAAAATTAAGTCCCATGATCAAACATAACTCGTCCACTCCATATGACATATTGTATTTGGATACTAGAAAAGTTAATCATTTTATTCTGTCCAATTCTAATACTTCACTAATTCACTTCACTAGGATAGATCTGATGGAGGAACATTGCATGAAGAATTAATATATCCCGGATCAATACGGGACGTCCAAATGGGCTGATTTTCATAGCCCATTAATATGAAATCGTGGGGATAATGCTGAAATCACAGATGCCTTAATTAGCTTATGTTCATAACCAATAGTATGAAACCCAGGGTGATAATGCTGAAATCGTAGGTTGTTTATTCATCTGCGATTTTGTGACTATATTTAATAAACTTTTTTTTTTTGCTAAAAATGGCTAATGCATTAACATTTTTGGCTATTTTTATAACTTTTAGTAGAGATTTATAGATGTTAAGATTGTTTATTATTTATGTTTTATAAAACATTTCATTAATCATCGAGAAATTAATAAACCAGAGAGAAAAATATATTTATTGTATTAACTAGTTGTCAAATAAATACGTCCAAGTAATCAAGATATTAACATGCTAATTTAAGATAATAACGAATGAAATTGACAAGAAACCTCTACGGCTCTATACCATTGACCATAAGCAAACAGCGTGTGGTAGCTCTACTTATACGACCCTTGAATCGTACGCTATATCTTCGTTAATATCTATAAGTACACATAGAACCCTTCAACTACTCCATTGTCATCCCATTTTTCTTCTTCAGTCGCAAATTTTACTCATAAATATATTTCAGCAGTATTCGCTAATTCAGATCTATCAAGACTTTGATTCCGACTTTCCGAGCAACAGCAACATTAATTCCAACCAGAAGTACCGAAAGCCAAGAAATGTCATTGTGCATGTCGACATTAAATGGTGCTCCATTGATATCAACAAGCCAAAGTCTCATTACATCATCTTCTATAGTTAATTCAACTTCTCATGCAGCAATCTCAAAAAGCAAGTATCTTGCCTCATGCAACGTTCATGGCTTCCATAGTAGAAACTTGCAGTATCACCCCATGTTTACGTTTGCACGACGAAACTTTGTTGTATGCAGCAATATTACTCCACCTCCCGGAGTTCCTCTTCCTTCAGGACCACCTTCGGATTCTTTGTAAGCTTCTAAAATGACCAATTTTTCCAGTTATTTTCAAGTATGTCTTGAATTTAACTAATGTCTTCTCTTGTGATCTAAACAAGATTTTCTACCAACCGAAAACAGAGAAAAAATAGACCTTTTATGTTCTTCTGTCTATCTATTTGTAGCTAACGTGTTTTAATTTTTGTGTAACTTTTCAGGAATGGTTGGGTGCTGTGTATCGTGTTGACATTTGTATTACCCTTTATCACGCGTAAATGGGGGCCATTGATTGCACTAAAAAGTAAGAAGATATTGCTCATAATTATAATGTGAAAACGAGGCTTTCATATTTTGTTTTGCTTCTAATTATTTATGAGTTTCTTCTTGAGGTTATTGTGTATAGATGTATAACTATCTTTTTAATACAACAAAACTTATATATACTGAATCTGCAGATAGAGTGGACACAGCGGTAGACATGGCGGAGCATATAGCGGAAGTTATGGAAGATGTGGCTGGAAAAGTTGATAAGGTGATCGATAACATTACTGATGATCTTCCTGAAGATAGCAAACTTAGAAAAAAGTTGGAAGCCGTTGATGAGCTGATTGAAGGAGTAGCAAAGAGTGCTCATATCGCCAATGATATCATCGACAAGGTTTGAATACTGATCACCTTTTTCAGGCTCTTACATATGAACAGTAGCGTATCTTGACCAAACTCCAACCGGGGTCCACTCACGTAGAAGCCCATTTAAATTTACTGGAAAATTAGAACGTTAGTTATTTGATGTTGAAGGGGTCAAAGTTGGGTAACTGTTAATATACGTAGAATTTATATATTGAAATTAGAAAGATTAAATATTGAAAATGTCAATGGCGCAGGTGGAAGAAGCTGAAGATAAACTCGAGTCCTTGCTTCTTTCCCAAGCAAACGAGGAAACGGTTTCCATACAAGTTGTGAAAAAGGAGGAAGTTTCTACCCATAAAGATTGAATAGTTATTAATATTCGAGAAAAAGATAACGATGGTCAACGTATTAAAGTTTGACCTATGATTAGGAGAAGCATTTAAAATCAATTTGTTCATTTATTTGTAATATATATTCTTACCGTTAGCATACTATTTGCTTTGAACTATTCCATTCTAATATTTCATCAAATACGGATTGTATCCTTTTGAAATACTATAGTCACCATGACACCTAAAATATATATGAAATCGAAACTTACGTAACCACATACAAACCATGTGTCTCCACTTATTTACACTAAATTTTATGAAAATGTTATGAGTAAAGCAACAATACAATTTAGGCTAGAGGGAGTGATATCATGCGGTAGCATGTGCTAAAATATTGTCACGTCATGTTTTTATAGACACGTAAGCATAATATGATGATATGGAGTGGTGATTTGGTTAAAATGTAAATATTTTTTTTTTCTTAAATCAAATAAATTTTTATTTAAATATTTAAATAAAATAAATTATAAAAAATGTACAAATGGTTAAAGTTGGAGTTACAAACATATAAAGCTGAAGTAATCAAATGGGGACCACCTGCCTTACTTTCTTCTTCCATTTACTCTCGCCAAACAAATGACAGCCAAAACTAGCGCATGCCTTAGCGAGCAAATAGGGAGTCATAGCGATTATTTTACGAAGGCTTAGCGAGGGGGAGTGGCGAGCCACTCCCTTTAGCCTTATAGAACACGTTGAAACATTTTACCCTTTCTAGTTGCGTTTTTATGTATTGTTGTTGTACTTGTTTCCGAACTTGATGTTTAAGTTTATTTTGCTTTGTCGTAGAGGCTTATTTACTCCATTTGTATCTTTTAGACCCATGTACTACACGAGTTTATTAAAAATAAAAGTTTAATATCAATTTATAAATATTAAATATTTAAAAAAAATACTTTTACATAAATGCGAACGATATAATGAATAAGTAAGTAATTCAATATATACTAATAAAAAACTATTGACATATTTTAAATAATGATTTTGAAAATTAAAGTGTAAACATTAAATATTTTTTAAATTAACTTTCGAAATAAATACAAATGAAATGATGAATAAGTAGTTATTGAATCTATACTAATAAAAAGAGCTAACATATTGTAAATAGTTGTTATAAATCAAAATTTCAAATACTCTTTTGAAGATGGCTTCTTTTTCATTTATTAGGGTAGAGATAGAGATGTATTATATACACATATTTATTTGTAAAATTTGAATAAATAATAAATTTGTTAGAATTCAAATTAAAAGTCCAAAAAATTAAAGGTATGTTTTGAATTCAAATATATCATCAAATACACGATATTAATTGTGTCATTAGAGCATCTATTTGAATTCAAATATATTTGTAAATTAATAAACATTTAAATAGAATAAATACTTTACATATATAATAATAGATTCATTAATTAGTGGAATTGATTACTGATTAATAAAAAAATAAAGATACCACATGAAATTTAAATAATTGTAAAATCTCATATAATGACATGTGGCAAAAGCTTTGAGAAAGTGACAAATGACAAAAAAAAAAGACATTCCTTTATTATAGACTAGGTATAAAACCCGTGTATTATACGGGTCGATTAAAGAAAAATAAAATATTAAAATGTAAATAATAAGTATTTTTTAAAATAAAATTTTGAAGTAAGGAATAAAGAAATATATTAATTGCAATTTATTATAATATTTATTACATTTGATAGTTTACATATATAAGTATAAGTTTATGTGGCTTTTTAATTTTAAAAATTGAAAAAAACCATAAATTGACATGTGAATATTATTTATTTAAAAATATCACAACATGACAAGTGTCAAAACTAATTAGAGATTGACATGTGACAAAAATATCTTCATTTATTATAGTAGATTCAACCGCTTAAGCAAATGTTTTGAGTCTTTGGTATAGTGCATTATTCATCTGCAATTACTAAGTGGATTTGGGTGCTACTTGTGGACATGGGAAAATTATTGGATTTAAAGAAAGAAATGCAGATATAAATGCCATGTCATCCACTATTTCTCTCATATTATTAATATTAGGCCAACTCAAAAATCACTAGTACAAAAACGACCTACGGTCACACTTTCCGAAAAACGGCCTGTGACACTTTTTATTAAAAGTGTGTCCAAAGGTCACTAAAAAAATTTAGAGATTGTTTTTGGATACATTTAAATTAGTTTGTGTGACGATTATATAGATAATCAAAACTTTAACTACACTTAATTATACCAAATGTGACAAATATTAGTCACACTAGAACACTGAGGCCATAGGTCACAATCAGCCACAGGTATCGATTAAGATTGTCATACTTTTTTTTATGAGAGACAGTAGATAAACGTATTGTGATATGAGTCAGTTGTATGTGTGTCTATAACCTGATGCCTTTTTAGCCACATAACAGAAAAAGTAGCTAAAAGGTGATACATATGGTCACACTAAATATTTGTGTGTCCATAGGGCGGTTTTGTACTAGTTGTACTTAGTTAACGCAAGAAAAGAAAAAAGTTAGTATTGGTTATTTTTGGTCATGTACCTTTTATTATGTGTGTCAAAATATGATGATTTGGCTTTGAAAAGAAACAAATATTGTGTGTGTAGGTAGCATTTAGTTATGATTACAGCTATTATATGTGTCTATATGTAAATATAGTTATAAAAGAACAATAATGTCTTATCGGTATAATTATGGGTCGTTCATTGAATATGTTACTATAATTATGTAATGTTCATTCTGGTTGTACTATTGTATTTGTAACGTTAAAGAATAGTCATCGCCAAAATATCCTTTGTTGATTAGTCAACCGTTTTACTTATATAGAGCCATTGAGTCCCACCCAAACTGCATAACGTATTATTAGACTTTGGGATAGTTTTTACAAAAAAATGTCATATTTTTCATTTGAAGACTGTTAAAATTTCCTACATCAAATGAGTTTTGATCATGTACCAGTTTGACTTTTAGGACCTATTTTGGTCATATAACAGTTGGAGTGATGTCAACATGTACAAAACAAATGGTTAAAGTTGCATCTGAAGGGATCCTTTAAGTCCACCAAAATACCCTTTAGAAAGGGACATAAATCTTTACTAGGGTCTGTACAAATTTCTGGATCAGAACCCTAGAAAAAGTAAAAGACTGTGTTTCCCTTTTGTAGTAAAACTATCCTATTTTTCTTATATTCCTTTTTTACCTGAAAATTCAAACCAAAAGAGTTTCCTATAGAGAATACCAATAATAACATTTAACTTTAAAGGGCATATTTTTGACTTCTGATCACACAATTGAAAGAAACAATGAAAAAATCAATGAATAGGTAGATAAATTGTATTAAATATGAATTGGTAGCAATGTGTTGGAAATAGTACACTTGGCACTTGTTCAATCTAATAACTACTACAAAATGAACCATTCTAATTGACAACTTTAAATCATATATTTGTTCGCTTGTTCATCACCTTGCACCAGTTGACATTAGCTACTCATACCCAATAGATTGATGGTTCAACACCCGTGTGTCTATGTTCAGTGTTCACCAATAAGCACACATTAAATAACAAAAGAAAAACATTTAGCCCTTTAAACATCATGTTAGCAACATACTTATATTATTTTTACCCAAAATAGCAATGTCTTTTGCATACAAAGTAATATTGACTAACGGGAAGCTGGATTGGTACAAAAAGTTTGTACAGAAGAACTATAAAAAAAAATTCTAACTATCAAGAGCCAACATAAACATAGTACAAAACACCGCCAATGATAACACCTAGCTCTATTACACAAGTCAATAACCAGGAGAAAACATAAATAATAGAAAAGTAAATGTCTTTGAGGTGTTCACACAACATATATATGTAACAAAAAAAACTAAAGAACCATTACAGCACCAGAAAATATAAAATTTTAGAAAATCATCACTAGGGGCAAAATGGTCAATAAAGGGAAAAAATAGTGAAGATGCTATGACACGTCACTTTCCATGGAAAAAATCATCTTTGTACATGTATCCATATGTGTATCACAAGAACATGTATGTGAATTCACATAAGGTAAAAATTAAGAAATATGATCAATTGATAGTGAATTAACGTATAACATAAGAAACAGGGGAATGAGATCTAATGAGTTGTAGAGTTTGTAATTAAAACATACTCTAGTATGCTATTAGAGATCATTAGAAACTAATCTATAATGTGAATGTATATAGAGGGAAAGATCAAATTCAAAGCTATTAATGTAAATGTAAATAATGAAAAAAATTGTGTTACCTGTATCGGTGATCCACTCGTATCTACAAAAATATTCATCAACCACCTTCTAAAGCGTGCACACACCTATGCAATTATACCATGAATTCTCACCTTACTCTTGTTCACATCGCAATTGCAAAATACATTCGCTCATCTGCAATTCTGACCTAAAGACTCTAATCGAAGATGATATTTTAGATTTTGAGTTTTAGGGATTAGGTTTTCGCGGAATCCAAAATTTTGAGAATCTCGATCTAATTTATTTTGGATACGTGGGAAAAAGATATGATTTATTTTTTAAATTGAGGAGGCAATGAATTACAAATGATTTTTTTTAAATAAAGTTTTTAATAAAAGTTTTGTAATTTATATCCATTAGTATTATTATTTATCATTTTTCTATTTTAAAATTAATATATATATATATATATATATATATATATATATATATATATATATATATGTTTTTATCGCTATTATGATATTTAAATCTTATATATAATTATTTATTAAAAAAATTCTATTTGTATGTATATGTATATGTGTGTAGGGTTGTAAACGAACCGACTTAACGCGGACGAGGATTGTTCATGTTTGTTCATTTGAGTTAGCCAAACAAACGAACAAGATTTCTTGTTCATGTTTATTTATTTAACAAATTATATTGTTCATGTTCGTTCATTTTTGTTTGTGAATATGCTAAACGAACGAACATAAATGAACAAACGTAAACAAACATATAATATAGTAAAGTAATCAAACACAATTGAATATATATGAACATAAAATAAACTAAAGTGAAAGAACATAAATGATGTGTATGTGTGTATATATG